ACTTAGCTATTTCTGAAAAGAAAAAAACAAGGCAACGTCTGCTTTTTTAGCTTTCTTTTGGTCAGCCATCTGGCAAAGGTGATCCCGTGACTTAAAGCACCTGTTGAAAATGAGTTCCACTTGAAGGCAGCCCAAGATATGATGAGAGAAAAGCGAGTATAATTGAAGGAGGGCCTTTTTTTGTTCTTTTTAGGTTCTTTGGGTCCCTCTTGAGACCAGAAGAAAAGGTTTGGAAGACAGCATTGTGATTTAGGTGCAGAAGGACTCTGTAGACCCTCTGTGGTGTGTTCAGAGTCAGCAGGAAAGGTGAGCTGGTGTCCAGGCCTACCTGTGTCCCCCCACACCGGCAGGTACTCGTCCTGCTGGATGTCCAGCATGATCTCCAGGCCGTTCCCCGTCCCTCCCTTCATGGTGGTGCGGAGCGTCTTTCCCTCCTCGGCGGCGTTGAACATGTAGCACTTTCCGTATCTGGTGAACACCTGAGAGCAGACAGAGAGGGTTGATCAGTGATGAGTCCTGATGCACAGACTCAAAACTGTAAAAATAACACTGCAGATTAGGGCGTAACAATGCATTCTTCACGGCGGCCGTATTCCCCACAATACCAAGAAAATGCAAATCTGACTTTTATCAATATACAGTAGAAAATATGCTAAATATGTTTTTCTTTTGTGAACTCTATCAACATATCTGTCTCTCTTTGACTAAGTCCTATATGTCCTGAAGGGCCCAAATATTTAGAAGTCAGCAACTTTTGGTCCAAAGAACTAATTTAACAGTGAGGAACTGAATGTGAACCATCAGAAGGACGGAAGAATATGTTGCTGCTCATTACAAGACAGGGACAGCTTATATTACAGATAATAAAGTTGCTTTTTGCAGCAAGTGAAGCTTCTGTTTTCATCTCTGCCCAGAGATTGGTCCTTAATGACAATTTCAGCAAGTTCAATAACCTGCTTGTGTCTTTATTTTAAAAAAAAAGAAGAAGCTTTTCAATAGTTTGTAACTGTCATTTTCCCCCTGTGTTGTGAAATTACAGACAATAATTTGTATCACTGAAATCACTGAAAAAAGTATTAATTTACACAATAAACAGTAAGAATTAGGCCAAAACTGCAATAACATTCACATTAAAAGTATTTTTTCTGTCTACTGTATCCAATTCAGCACAATACATCCTTATATTAGAAATACTCGCCATTATTTGAATTAAAAATTATCTGTATTAAGGATAACTGATGAATAATTTTGTTTTCAATGTATTTTTTATTTGTGTTTTTTTTTTTTTTTACAGATTTACCTTGTTTTGTTAAATTACAGACAACTAGTACTAGCAAGATCACAGAAAAGGGATTTAATTTACATGCAAGCAATAAAAACATTAAAAAAAACAATGCCAGTGTTTGACAGTGAAATTAAAGTGTTTTTACTTTACTGTACTTAATTCAGCAAAATATGTCATTATTTTACAGATATTTTCCATTGTTTGAAAGAAAAAAATGTGTATAATAAGGACTGAAAAATGGCAAATGATGTTTTTTATTTGACATATTTCCCCCATTTTGTTAAATTGCAGACAACAACTAGAAAAGTCACTGAAAAATATATTAATTTAGATGCTGACTGTAAAACAAACTTATTTTACAATGTGTGATGGTGAAATTACATTGTTCTACTGTATTCAAATCAGCAAGAAATAGAATTACTGTACAGCTATTTGCCATTATTTAAAAGCTAAAACATGTAAGGATATTAAAGATGGAAAGCTGAACTGTTATTTCACACATTTTCTCTGTGCTGTTAACCTACAGACAATAACTAATAAGATCACAGAAAGGTGTCACTGAGTCAGAAGTCTGATTTACTGGCACACAGATTTCTGCCTTCGACTAATATAAACCTGCAGCATCACACAGCAGCAGAAACAACGGGTGCTTCAATAAATTGAGAGTACGTGCAGTTTACGCATGTAGCGCATTAGCAGTGACTTCAGAGACACAGGGTCGATCGATTTTAACAGTAAACAATGTACGCCGTTTTTCTGTAAACACAACCCAACCTGGTCCGTCCCCCACAGTGTCTGGCTATGCATTACACACTTCACCGTAGATACCTTTGACTGCATGTCGATGGTGCTCGTTTACGACCAGGGTGTGTCTTTTATAGATAAGGGCATCAATTTAAAAATTAAACCGGTCATTTACGGTGTAATAACGAGCAACAATTAGATTTCTCACTTTGCCAGGTTTCATTAGGTTCAGTTCCCCTTTTCCATTGATGTTCTGACTCCTATTATGCACTCAGTTATGGGACTGTCACAACACATCTCAGCTGGGCACGCTTTATATTATTCCCATAGTCTTTGGAGTAAGCCAGGCGACTCTGAAATGCCAGTTCGCATGTTGCCGGAACTGTACATGTTCTGAGGCTGCTTTAATGAAAACGAAGCACTGTAACGTCAAAACTGCACGTGTTGTTTGTCTCTATTTACACATGTCTGAACGCAGCATGCAATGTATAAGAACAGCAAAGGACAGGGTGATGTATGAACCACGTTTACTGGAGATCCTCTGCCTCGTTGATGCCAAAATAAGTACTGAATTTGTAAAGCAAAACAGATAAAGCCCTGTGTTTTTCTCTCCTTTTCTTTTTTAGATAAATATACCCCTGATGGCTTCCATAATGGCTTTGACAGAACACTAATATTGTTTACAGTTTGGTAAATTCGCACCATAAAAAGTGAGCTTCCAGCAGTTATTGTTTTTTACAAAAAAATATATAAACCATGAAAGCGAAGACAACAAGGGCCTGAATTATTTTTGATAGAGGAAAAAAACTGATTGCAAATAATCATTGCTGAGGTGTGAGATTAGAAGAAACAACTTTTTTTAACACGATTTCTAAGCAGATTTGTCTTTGTTTATCCTCAGTGGAGAGTCAGTACACTGAAACAAATATGTTGTAATGGCTTCTATGTCATATATATGATGTCTGCACTTCAAAGAGAAGAAGTACAATTTAAGGCCAGTTCTTGGTAGACATCATATGTGCACGCAGCTTGATTCCTCCTACAACAGTTAAGCGAATATCAAACATATCCAGCAGTGACGACTTAAACACGTCTCATCTCAAAACAAGCTACGTGGACCCTGGACTTGGGTAGATGATGAAATTTACAACTTACAGACATGTAGATGCAAAAAACATGAAGCGGAACTCAGTAAATAATAAGAGTGCAATTCAGAGCATGCACTAATAGGAGCTGGCAGCTGGAGTTGCATTTTTGTGACAAGTAAGCCACATGATTACGAGGACTGCAGCATTGTGTTACCAGGGTTAACTTACATTTGTTAGTTTTGGACACGTTTGTGCAGAGCTGTTCGTGATACTAGCAATTTCTGAAATCCAGATTGATGCTATTCTGCAGGGACAGCCAACAACTAGTGTTCCTCCCACATGCTTTCATTCACAGATGGCAACTCTACAATTAAAAGTGTTCTCATTTTAAATCAATATGAGGTGCTCTTTTCCACATAGTGTCAGAAACCCTTGTGAATATATTAGCCATCTACATCTAGCGTGAGTTTTGACCTAAACAGCGTCAGCTGGGTGTCAAATCATTCGTGTGTGTGTGTTGCATTTGCAGTGGGACTATGCACACACATGCACAAACACACACACACAGCCCTGACAGCTACAGGTGTTGTTGTTGTTGAGTGCTTTTCTCCGTGAAGGACAGGCTTGGCAATAAGTGCAGGCTGCCAGAGGGACACCTTCTTTCATTCTCACATTATCTACATTTCTTTCTGCTGGAGGATTGTGCACAGCTGTAGCGCTCTCTGAAACATGCAACAAGTTTAAGAAAACCAGGGGCAATTTCCCATGTAATCACTTAAAAGCAGAGAGCATCCGGGCTGGACTTCAGCATAAACCCTCCATTGCTTTCATTTGTGCTAACAAGCCAGTATTCCACTCCAATTAGATGTACCGTACGTGGACAACGGCGTCTTCCAACACCTCAGCAAGAGCCATCGAACGGCTCCGAGGCATCGATGAATAATAGATCCACTTAAAACTGCAGCTTGTTTGCAAATGGTGTGTGTGTGTTAGTGTAACACAAGCAAACATGTAAATGAGACTGTAGTTGTGAGGTCTCCATTCATGCATAGTAATCACCATAACAGCCATCCACTTCGACGCTGCAGTGACTGATTGAAAGGATATGACTGATGGAAAACAAATCAAGAGCAACAAAGCTCTCTGGACCCCCCGACGACAAAATGGAAATTTAATCATCAATATGATGTTCTTGCAGATTCCAGTTTGTGATGTACGATCTCTGTCTCAGTGTGTTCACTGTAAAATCACTTACACCTGCGATTAACAAGCAGCGTACACAACACACCACTGTAAATGTTCAGTGTTTGTGTTGGAACCGTTTACAAGAGGTGCATTCTGGGATAATTTTGGAGGATTGCGGTGCTTTTAAGTTGAAGTGTTTCTAATATTTCGCCCACCATGTTTATATCAATATAATATACAGACTAACCATTACAAACACCTCTTTTTAATATAATTCATAAAGCAGCACCACGGCCTGCAGCCTCAGAAACTGTTAAATAATCAACACCTCTCGACGAAAACACTGTAATAAATTCTATTATTGTGCAGCTCACCAAACAAACAGACAACTGAGTGCATTCCCTGATACCTAATGTAAATTATGCATTTTAGAGAAAGGTGTAAATGTATGCAGAATGTGTTTTGTTTTAATGTCCCCTGACTCTGCCTCTCAAGCTGCCCATGGAAAAGCTGCAGACGAGATGTACGTCTACGCGGAAAACAGGAGTAGCGCCAGTCCGGAAACTCTGCTTTTGAAGACTCTTGAGGAATCTCTCAGAGCCGAGCTAAGACGAGTGCTAACAAGCTCCAAACGTGCTGTGGTATAAGTAACGTCAGCAGCTATACAGACTATGTGCCCCTTGACTTCAACATCTCACCAACCCCTCAAGAGTGTCTCACATCGCTTTAGTGTTTGTTAACTGTCAGCTCTGCTTAGCTAACTAGCGCAGTGGGGCTTCCTCACAACGTGGGCAGAATCTAAATAACGGGAAGCTCTTTTATTACCAATGCAAGGACCATAAAATTATCCAGACACAGTTATCGTTCACAACAGAAGTGAAAACATGTCTGTGCAACGTCACTCAGATGTCAGAATGATTCAAAATTGTATAACTTCTCAGTAACTGCATTATTTTGAAATTGACAGGTCAAGTATTTTTTCTCATGAACTATCACAAACAAAGAAAGACTAGATTTAAAATACAGGCTCTAAAGTTGCAATGCAACAAATGCAACAAAACTAATCCCACCTGTGCTCACGGACACATACATTAGAAAACCTGTGATCACTGATCTGAGTGGTTTCCAGTTAACCCAACTGGACTGATACTGGGCTGTCTGTCTGCATGCACGCATC